CTCTCCTTCCTTCTCCTTTCCAGTCACCACCCTTGCATCCCTGGGATTGTACCATCACTAATCACTTATAAAAATATATTAGGCTCTGAGAAGGAAAGGTTTTCAAGATCTTTTTCCCCAAATCTTAAGTATATATTCACTTTTAGAAACAGCAAATGAAATTTACACCATTTTCATTAAAAAATCATCCCCACTGGCTGGACTTTAAGGAAAGTAGAAATCACTCTTACTAAAGAGTCATTTAAAAGAGGGAGAGGCAATGAGAGATGGAAGAAAAGACACACAACAGTCAGAGAAATACTAGTTCTCACTGTGCAGCAGCAACAGGGGATAATCAGAAACACATGGTCACGGTGAGGATACATTTATTCCACAAAAAGCAAAGTTTCCACTCGCGCAGCCTAGACCAAGGCATTTTCTTCAATTGTTTCTGCTTATAATTTAACGTGCTTCCTGTGTTAGGAAATAACCAAGTGTTAGATTCCATGAAAATAAATAAATCTACCAAGTGACTGACTTCAATGAATAAAATACAACTGTAGTTGTATGTTACATGGAAATCACTTTAAGACATGGCAGTTTGTCAGTCAAATGCAAGCGACCAATGTTGACAGAAAACCCAGAAGAAACGATAAAATCCATCTGCTCAGAAAGACCCTTTTTAAAAGTACAAATTGGAGTGGGGGGTGGAGAATTGCAATCTTGCCATAAAGAAGGAGAGTACTTCCTCCCAATTTAAGGTACTTTTCAGTCACCTCTTAATCATATGAAAGCCAGATAACCGGTCAATGAATAAGGAAACCTAAAGATGCCTCTGAATTACAGTGATGGCGAGGGATACTGATCAAAGCCAGGAAAACAAACCAATCTGTTTGAAAAGAGTAACAGCCCGCCTGCTTCTTGGACATGAAGATGGAGAGATCACCTCATGGACTTTGGACATGTTATCAGGATGACAAGTCTCCGGAGAAGGACAGTATACTTGTCAAAGCAGGGGAGGAGCTCAAATGAGGAAGACCCTCAAGGAGATGGACTGACCCCCAGCATCAGCAACGGCTCGCCCATAGCAACAAGGGTGCGGACGGTGCAGGACTGGGTAGGGTTTTGTTCTGTGATTTGAGATCTCCTTGACAGCTTCTTCCTCCCTATGGAAAATTGGCATCTACTATACCATGATCTCAATCTGTACTGAAAACAGCTTTAGACATTGAACCAGATCCCAATCGTAAAGTTTTAAGGGCATACTTAGCACCTTCAAGAATAACCTGCTATAAGAACTCATTACCATACTGATAAAGAGCATAAGGTCTTCCCTTAGAAAGAATTGCAACAAAAGGTTAAGCAGATGCTTATTGTTTATTTGTGAACACTTCAAAGCTATAATTCAAGAAAAACTCGTGGTTCAGTGACTTCAGAAAGTTTATCCCAGCAGATATTACCATATTCACTAAAAATACCTTTTTGTGGGTCCACATTTGAAATTTTTAATAAAAAATTTATTTGCCCCTGTTTTGGATTTATAAATCTAAACTATATACTTACACATCCTGGATACAACTTACACATAACTTTAACTATACAATTAGCTTGAAATACGGGTTTCCAAATATTTTTAGTCACTCTCAGAACCTGACTCAAGATCTGAACAACTGAAAGAAATCATCGATTTTTTCAGAGAACTGTATGTTTTATACATTCAAATGCATTCTGAGATCCAGGAATCATGGGCCAAAGCCAGCTGTTTGGAGAAGTCTTAAAATATACTTAAGACCAAAATAAGTGGATTCATCTTAAAAAAAAAAAAGCCCTAATGACAGAATATTTTGGTTTTCCAACAAAAGTAATAACACAATACTAATTTTTTAGATAGAAATCATGCAAGATCTATAAAATTTTTAGAAGTTATATTATCGATCTTGATGAAAAATAATTGTAGCATATCATTTTTTATTCACATTTTTAAAAATATCAGCTCCAGAACTAGTTGTTTTTATGAGCTATATATTTATCCCAAAGACATTTCTTTTTTGTATATATTAGCTATTGGTGGACAAGTACTTAACTCATTTAAAACTGGATTCGTAACGGATTCTTTTTTGTAATCTACAGTAGAAGAATTAACTCATAATTGAGTTAGTCAGTCTCAACCTGCATCTTTCGTTTACCGTCTGCCTACCTCGATTACAAAATGGGTGTAGACTAGACCAAAGACTGGCCCAAGTGAAGCAGAAAATGAAGATATATGATAAATATTTAGAAATTCAGCTTTAATAATCACCAAGTTTCTCAGCTAGCTTTGTAAATTTAGATCTTTGCTTATGGTTAAAATACTTCTGACTGAACAGTTTGGTGAAAAACCGTATGCTTGGCATTTCTTTTTCATAAAGAATATTATAAATTGGATATGTGAGTCAAGCAGCCAATAACTTTCATATGGTTTATGAGTAGCCAGAGAGCCAAAGCTGAAATGGAATTTTCTGGGGCAGCTTGCAATAACAGTTAACATATGCCTAAAGTTACAAGCAAAACAAGAGTCTTGTAAAGTCAAATAGAGGAATAAGAAAGACTGTAGAAAATCTTTTTTCCCCCAGACTTCTTAGCAAACATTTTAAGAATTGGAAGAATAACACTATCTCCATGACTTCAAAGGCATTGCATTGATCAGTATTAGAAAATTTAAGAAGGGATTTCAATGGTCACGTTTTACGTCCCTCATAAATCTGATATATTAAAAAAAGAAGAAAAATACAACTGCAAACTAAGTTAATGCTTACATAAATGAACAAAACTTACACCATTTTCAATTACTTCATAGCAACTAGAATTGATTCACACTTGCAGTTCCATCCAGAATAGCTTGTAGTGATTAAATGCTTTTATGCTTTTATGGGTCGTAGGAGATTTCAAGACCAAGATTTCCTTTTGCCGCATAGAAAACAAGTAGTTACTCACTTATACATTTTGCAAATTTTCTCTACTTGAACCTAATAGTGTTTGGGGTTTTAATAAGTTCTTCCAGTTGTGGTTCCCCAGTCATCAGAAGAAGTTTGCCTTTACTTCCATTTAGACCAGCAGGCCCCTGGGCGGAACCAGGAGGCTTGATTTCTCTTCTCCAGGATGAACAAGAGGAGCCCTGGGTGGCACAAAGGGGAAATGCTCATCTGCCTACCTGAAGGCAGGCAGTTCAAGCCCACCAGCTGCTGGACAGGAGAAGGATGTGGCTGGCTGCGTCTGTAAAGATTTGCAATCTTGGGAACTGCAGGAATAGCTCTCCACTGGTTCTATACTGCCACTCTGGGTTGGACTCAACCAAGGCTGAGGTTGAGGTTTTGAATGAACCATGTCATCGTACTTTAACCCATGGGGGCTAACCTCAACATCTTTGGAACATCAGTCATTTTAGTCACATCATATGGTCGCTGTAAATGAACACAATAACACCTACTTTACCTAACTCATGGTGTTATGAGCCTAAAATTAAATGTAAAAATATTTCCAGACAGTGGTAATATGGTACTAGCAGTACTAGCAGCGGCCGTGTTGCTGTTGTGACTTGGTGCCTTCAAGCTGGGTTCAAACTCCCAGCGACTGGACGTATAATGGAACAAAACACTGCCCTCTTCTTGCACCATCCTCACAAGCACTGCTACACTTGAGCCGCTGTAACAGCCACTGTGTCCATTCACCTCACTAAGGGTCTTTATGTCTTTCGCTGACCCTCTCCTTTGCCAAACAAAAGCAGAGTGGTGCCTGCTTCATCAGGCACTGGTCTCTCCTGGTAGCATTTTCAAAGGACATGAAAAAGTCTCACCACCCTGGTTTCCAAGCATCACTCTGGCTCTGTTTCTCCCAGGGCAGACTCATTTGTTCTAGCAGCTCATGGTATGTCCATTACTCTCTGCCAACACTAGAACTGAGCAGCAGTGGTGGTATTTAAAAGGAAATTCTGCTCTAGACAATAACCAGTGTCCTCACAGATTTAACAAACTCAGCTGTAGATGTAAGAGGCCACTTACTGATTCCTAACTTAGCTTACTATTACATTAGTTGTGGTAGCATAGAATGTAGTGGCTTTGCTGCTAGAGGAGAGAGAGAGAGAGTGAGAGAGAGAAAGAGAGATTGATTTTAAACTGGTCTGTTTCAAAGGATTTTATTTCACTGGCAGTCATGAACAAAAATGACTAAAATAGAAATCCTGTATAATGCTTTGCTTTGGGAACTCTGGTGGCTTAATTGTAAGGAATTTTGCTGCCAACACAAAGGTATACAGTTTGAATCCACCAGCTGCCCCACAGGAGAAAGAGGGGCAATCTCCTGCCTCTGAAGGGTCAGCTATGGCTTAGTTCTGACTTAGAGGTACATAACAGCATGTTTCTTATCTGTTGACGAGTAAGATTAGTAAAGTTAACCAAAATAACAAAAGTATAACACATAATAATCTACATATTTCTAATTATAGAAGCAATAAAATGCAGTGTGCTAAGTGTTTCATAGAAACCAAGCATATCATGATTTCAAATGCCTTGGGAAAAAATATGTACTTTAGGGGGGTATTCACCAGCTAAAAAAAAATTAACGCTTCATTGAAAGGAATATTAGTGTGACCTTGAGTTTAGTATGATGTGGAGATGAGTATCAACTACTTTTAGGAGGAAGGCAGTCAATGCTCATTGAGTTTAACTCTGATCTGACTTCTGTTCCTGAACTGGTCATCTCTGCTCTCTTGGACATCTCCTATTTTAGAATTAAGCCACAGCCCTCTCACCTCCAAAATCATTCAACTCAAATGCAGTGGCTTTCTAAGGGAGAGAAATGCCAGACCACGGCAGAAGTATGAAAAGCTAAAGTGCCCCGTGGCTCACAGTCAGGAGTTGCCCCTGGGCTCTGCGCACCCTGGCTGCCTTTCAGACCTCATGGAGGTTAATTTTAGTTTGACAGAAAGGACAGAGCGGCCGCCTGCTGTCTTTGCAAAAACTGAGGGCAGCTTCGGAGCCTCTTACCTTCCTGACTTCGTGCAGGTCTCTGGGGAGAGGGAAGCACCGAGTGTCAGCCGAGCGCGCCTTCTGGCATCTGCTTGCCTGGGCATCCGTGGGGGTGTGGGGGGCCACCCCGGTGACAGCAGCTGTGAGCTTCCTTGTCCCTCTGAGGGTCAGGGTCTGGTAGAAGAGACAGATGGCCACCACCAAGCCCACCAAGAAGGGCCGGGGGCAAAATCGCCGGCGCCAAAGGAAGCCTGGGCGCCAGACCATGTCCAGTTCAGCTCTGCTTGGCCCCTGTCCACGGTGCGGGAAGACTCATAGCGGCTATTTCTGTCCGCCTGAAAAACTCCAAGCTGTCTCCTTCTTCCACCACTTAGATCAAGTTTGCTCCATGCTGGCTGAAGAACTTGGGGAAGGATCATGCCAGAGAGTCAGCACGGGCAGGGGTGGTCGCCAGGAGCCTTTCCAAGCTCAGTGAGTGAGGGGAAGCTGGCCCCGTTGGGTGTGAAGAAAGACCATCCAAATAACAACAGGAGAGATAGGAACCTGGGTGCGCCGTCAGCGGCCCAGCTGGTTGCTTCCGCCTTCTTTTCACAGGACCCAAAACTCTCAGGAAAGGCGTCCTCCCCCACCCCACAGCCTCCGGGCAAAGAGAAAAGCCAGCAAAGCCAGGCCGCCTGCAATCTGTAAAGCGCGTGGAAGACGCAGTAGGTTAAAAGCCCCAAGAGCCTGGAGACAGGCCAGGCCTCCCAGAGGTTCCTCCTTTTCTCGTCTGGATTTTAAAGCAATCCCGCGCCCACAACGCCCCCCTTCCCCCCTTTTTAAAACTGCTCCCCTTCATGCCTTTTTAAATTGCCACTTTCCTGTTAGCATGCATGGCTTTCAGCTTTCAAGGGCCGACTTGAATGGACTTGGTTACCGTGTGGATTTGGCCAGTGTTAATTTCACCCCGTTACAAGCTCAAAGTTCTGTGTACTTCCTCTGTTTTCATCCCCTGTAGCCAGAAAAAAGTTTGCAACTCCTCTCTTGGACCGCTGACCAGCGGCACTCCCAAGGAAACACCCAGTCGTTAGAGTCCAAGGAGTCATCACACACAGATGCACACGCGCGCACAGACACACGCCGTCACAGAAAGACACACACCCCCGCGGACACACACACACACACACACACTCGGACAGTCAGAGCCACCCCATCCCCAGCCCGACACAGGAGGTGAGCAGCCCCTGGGGACCCCACATCTCTGCAGCGGCAGCCCAGCCGCCTGGCCTTTGGGGCAGAGCTAAGGCCTGGCGCTCCCAGACTTTCAACTTTGCAAGAGCTTTGCAACAGAGTGTCCTAGAAATGACAGTCCCCTTTCCCCTAAAAAGTGACTGCCTGTTCTGAGCCGCTGGCTTTAAAATAGAAGTGCAACAATGAATGAATGGAATTCCAAAATCTCTGTAGATGTTCATGGAAATGAAAAATAAAGAAATTAAAAAAAAATAGAAGTGGCTATTTGGTCCCTTTCCTTAAACTTTTTTCACCCTAAAACCACATTGCAGATACAAATCGTCCAAAGGTCAAGGGGGAGACCTAAGCCAACTTAGCAGAGACTTGGAAAGTTCTTCACTCCCGGGAACTGCGGTTTAGTTTCTTTCTCTTGTGGGGATAAGAGGGTCACTAGCATTGTCTAACCTTCAGACAAGGACACCACCTCGAAGGCAGTGGACAAAGTGTCTCTCTACTTTGACAAATTTATTATTATTATCTTCTTTTCCAGAGGTGCAAGTTTACCCACTCAGAAACAAGACAAAGGTTGCTTCCAGTCTCTCCAGTGGCTTCTGGGGAGAAAAACCTGCAGATCCAGCTCTATCAAAATTGCAATCTAGTGAAACTCTAAGGTAGCTCTGGTGGTTTAGTGGTAAGGAATTACACTGCCAACCCAAACTCACATGGTTAGAAACCACCAGCTGCTCCACTGGAGAACGATTGGCAAACTTGTCTGGTGGAATTAACTGCCTCTGAAAGCCTGCTGGAGGGTCAGCCGTGAGAGGTTCTGACTCGAAGGATACACAACCACAGCAGAGCTCCAAGGAGGCAGTTCTCCGTCACACATATCATTATGAGTCAGAATCATCCTGATGCCTCTCAACAATGTCGACTTTACAGGGTTGTTTTAAGATTTTCCCATGTTATATAAAAAATTACTATTCTTATCTTCCTGGACTAATGACTAGAGTTTCTCCAAGGTTAATCGCACATCACTTAACTCCTTAAAAGTTTCCCTGTGGCTATCACATTCTTCTACTAACCATAGTTTGCAGCCATACAGAGTCTCTGCACAAGACAGATGTGGCCATCTGCTGCTGTACTCTGGAAAAAAAAAAAACAATGACAATAACAAAAACAAAACAAAAACTGGATGGGACAACTGCTCCTTACAAGGTCACTCCAAGTGGAAATCTGCTGGACAGAAGCAGTGGTTTTTAATCCTGAAATGAATTGATGATTGCAGGGGTTATAGTCCTGCAGATAGGCGAGCCCAGAGACATTGTCCAGAATTCAGGCTCGTTCAGATCACAGCCAGGATCCTAGCAGGGCGTTTCTGCCGGCTGCTCTTCACCCAGGGTACACAGAGGGGAAAGGTCGTCTGTCTGTTCAAGAGCATGTCCCTCCTTCTCTCACTCCGTTTTGAAAATTTTAGATACGTACAGCTTTAGACTCAGGGCTGAGGTTCTACAAAGACTATTGAATAAAACAGGGTTTCTAACAGTTTCTAACCTAAACTGGTTCTTGGGAAAAAGACCTTCTGAGAGGCCACACCCTTAGAATGAGCCTTTCTCAGGCACGTGCTTGTCAGTCTGTCACTTCTATTTTGTGAGATGGTGCGCCGCCTAGGGGTACCCAGCTGTTAGTGACACTTTTAGAGACTTGGGCACTTAAATATTCCTTGTTTTTAAAATACGGTGATGTTGAGTCGCCTGTGACTCATATTTTATATAAATATATATGTTTCCTATATACACACAAAGTATATATGTTATAGCCATATACCTAAACATGTTACGAAAAAGACTTTTTTTTAGACTTTCTTTTTGATTGTTAGATTGTCAAGAAAGTTGAAAAAGAGAAAGAAATCAAAAGGACTTTTTTGGCATGGTGGCATGCTTGGGATTGTTGAGTAGAAGGTATAAAAGAAAGAGCATCAAATCAATGCTAGCATCAAGTTTTCTTTGAGAATTAAAAGGAAACAAGCTGGAGAATGTTAGTCCTTAGAGAGTTATGTTGCCAACCCAAAGACAGTATCTGCTGGTTCAAACCCAACAACTGCTCCTCTGGAGAAAGACTGACAATCTCCTGGCGGGCTCTTCCCAGCCCAGGAAATCCACAGGCAGAGTCAGCTATGACTTGGTTCCGACTTGACGGCATCGAGTTCAGTCAATCACTAAACCAGTATGATGATGCTGGGAAATTATTCTCCATCTAAACCCTGGGTGCGAAGAAGTAGAAGAAGGAGAAGGCAGATAGTGAAGGTGCAGGAAAGAGACCAGAATTAGAGTGAGAAACTGGAAAGAATAAAAAGACAAAATAAAGTAGGTCCATCAGTGTGCACACCTTGCCTTCTCTCTTAAAGAGAAATCCACCCCCACAACCTCATGGCCTCACAGCCATCAGTCAGGACCTATTTATTTATAGCTGACCTCCCAACAGGTTTTCAGAGGCTGTAAATCGCATGGGAGCAGAAATGCACGTCTGTCTCCCTCAGAACAGCTGGAGGATTCAAACCATGTGACTTTGGGTTGCCAGTGGACCTCCCTACAGACTTAGCCACCAGAGCTCCACTGCCTCTTAGAAGCTGTTAGCAAACAAGTTCTTTCTCTACATCTCAGCACATCTCCTTTGTGGAGTGAGGGGATTAGTGCCTGTTCTGAGATGCTGTGGGCAGGCCAAGTGTGCAGCCATTTAGAAGGACCTAGGTGGTGCTGTCCATAGGGGGCTGCGCTGCTAACCCCAGAGCCACACGTCTCTGCCAGTTCAAATGCACCAGCAGCTTTGCAGGACAGGTGGGCAACATCCACTCAGTAGAGGCTTAGCTAGCAGTTGGTCCAAACCCATGGCAATGACGAGTTTTGCAGGCTTGTTCTTTGGAGGTTTTGTGGGTTGTTTCCCACCTCCTCCCCCACCAAGCATTCTGTGTCTGCTGGGTGACTTTCCCCTGCCTGACAGTCCGTGATGTTCTGTCTGGGTCTTCAGGTTGGGCACAGCCCCCCCGAGCTGACCATCTGGTGTGGCATCAGACCCATGATCAGGGGATCATCAAGAATGGGCCTCCTGAACACAAACACACTTAGTGCAAACCCATGTCCTTCCATGGGTGCAGGCTGGTTTGGGAGAATGCCAGGGGCGAGGGTGGAGGGGATGAGCCTCTAGGCAGAGGCCACACACCACCTGCATTTATGCCTCAACAGTAGCTTAGACCTATTTATTTGCATGGAAGGCTACTTAGAAATATGTGTTAGCAGCTGCAGGAACCAGAGCAGTGAAACTTAAAAAATGATTTGGTTCAATGATGGGAAGGCAAGAGTAGATACGCAGAATGATCAACGTGTGGATCCTGACAGCCCTCAAGCAGCAGAAGTCTTAATGAAGCTGCCTTTGTGATGCAACTTCCCAGGACCCTATGATTTCTAATTAGGGAGCTCTGGTGGCTTGCGGATAAGGAGCTGTGCAGTCAACCCAAAGACATGAGGTTCAAATCCACGAGCTGCTCTGTGGGAGAAAGGTGGGCAATCTCCTCCAGTATGATTTACTATCTCTGAAACCCCTCTAGAGGGTCAGCTGTGAGTCAGTTCTGATTTCAAGGTAAACAACAAGGTTATATTTGTTGTTGTTTTGTTATGTGCCATCGAGTCATTTGCGACTCATAGCGACCCTATGTACAACAGCCCTAAACCCTGCTCTATCCTGTGCAAACAGCACTGCCTCTGACAAACCCATTCCGATTACCCCAGTCACTGAATCAATCCATCTCATAGAGGATCTTCCCCTCCTGCGCCGTCCCTCCACCCTCCCAAGCATGATGTACACCCAAAGTATGTCAGATGAAGCCCCAGAATCCTTGCCTCCAAGGAGTAGCTTGGTTTAACCCTCTCTAGGATGAATATGTTTGTTTTCTTGGCAGTCCATGGTACATTCAGTACTCTTCTCCAGACCACAGCTCAAAGGCATCAATTCTCCTTCTGTTCTCCCTAGTCATTGTCCAACTCTCTGATGCATAACAAGTGATT